TATATATATATATAAATGCACACAATACCCATTATATATGTTTTTATTATTAGACTTTTCATCCTACATTTCATATTTACTTTTCACACAAAATATATACACATTATATACATTATTATTATTATTACACTTTCCATATACATTTTTCACACACAAATTATCTATATTGTTATTTGGACTATAACTTGTTACTTTATTTGGACAAATAACTTGTCTCAAGATCCCACACACAAATATAAGGATATTAAATGAACGAATTTGACCACATTCAGATAAATTCACTTGTCCATCCCCCACAACTCAAACAAGGAAAAACAAAGGAACGTGTATGAAATTCCAAGTAGAAAATAACTGAGAAGAGGAAATATGAACTGGAAAAAATAAAATATAATAAGATTAATCTGTCACTAAAAAATATAAGAAACCTCGTCATTAAAAAATGCCAAAGCAATCAAAATTGTAATGAATCGGAATAAGATGATTAGGATGGTGGGGACTAATGTGGATTTATATAGATTTATTACCTAACTTATATAGGATTGAATCAGAGTTATTAAAAGCTATATAAGTAGGTGTGACAAAGATTCAAATAGTAACATGAAGAATATGTTCTTTTTTTAAAAAAAAAAGAAGGGGGTATTAGAGAAAGGAAAAGTAGGGAAGTGGACTACAAGAGAATCAAATGTTCGCGGACAATTTCCAGATGACCAATCAACTAAACTATTCTGCTTGTCTATGTTCATTTTCTTGCTCCCACTTTAATTTATACTATTTTTCTATAGGTTCATTTAACTTGCCCATCATATATATTACATGCCTTAGGAGTCTCCCTTTTTTTTCTCATCACTCACACTCCTTCAAGGAAATCATTTTTGCAGATACTATATTCTTATTACTTGGGTTCTATTCGAAGGACCGCCTAATTTATTCGCATTTCTTGCTTTTGTGAGTGGCTTTTTTTTTTGTGTGTGTGTCATTACAAGCTACAGAACTCATGTTGTTTTGTTTGTTGTGCTACCTAAGATTCTTTTTGTGACTACTAAGATTAATTCTCTAGGTAAATTGACTTAGACAAAGACCGACAACAACGTTTCAGGGCCTTTAGGCCTGTTTTCGATACAAAATTAGCACCAAAATTTTCCCAAAAAGAAAAATTCATTATCTATCTAAGTGGACCAAATCAAGCTGAGAACGAAATGAGGAAGGGGATTACTGGCTAGTAGGTGCGGAGACAGGTTCAGTTGCACTTTTGCCTCTATTTTGTGCTGATAAATAACTTTTTTGTGAATCACAAATGTATATTTTTGCATTGTAATATTTTACAAAGTTATGTCCCAAGCCCTTAATAGAAGACGTACGTTTGAGCTCTTTGTAAAAAAGATAAATTCATCACATCCTTCATTTCTACTGCATGGGATTTAATTGTAAATGTTAGTGCTTCATACCAAAGTTGGCTCAAACCAGAGATCTCTGATTAAAGGTAGCATCATTAATTGTTGCACCACATCCTTTGGTGGTCCTAAAACCTTTCTTACCTTGTATGTTAAATGCATCCCTTACAAACTTATCGATGAGCTAGCTAGGGTTTTCATTAATTGGGCCCAAAACAAGGAACAAAGAAGTAGATAGTTGTTTTGCCATGTCCAAGAAGCAAAAATCAAACATGGGGTTTCCATGTCCAAGAAGCAAAAATCTCTTTTTGGTGAAACTGTTATGGCTCGTTTGCTTATATGCAAATAATTTTGATATAAAATTCTTTATTGTTTTCTACTTCATTTTGTTGCATTATATTTTTATTTTCTGTATAATTATTGTTTGGCTCAGGCATGCACATATGCCTCAGCAGTTTTGTGCACTAAAAAGAATCTAATAGCAATTTTTCGGACACCCCTTAATTAACTATGAAAATGAACATGGTTAGACATCAAAAATAAACGATTTGTGGTTCTTAATTAATGAAGTTATGTATGAACAGGGTTCGGATAGGGCGGGGTGTCGGGGAACACCAGACGGATTATAAATTTTGAACTTTATGGGTTCAAAGTTTCAGGTCAATGACCTCAAGTACTGTTAGCTAGCTATTGAATATTAAATTTAATTTTGTATATATTTAATAAATTCTTTAACATGATAAAGAAATGAATTTTAGGCTTAAAACAATCAAAAAATTAGTTCAAGAGTTGACGATTTTTTGCAAGGGTTGAAATATCTATGTTTGCCTTCCCTTTCCTCCTTTTGTTAAGGATATGTTTTATCCTTGTTGTATTTGGAAGTAAGGCCAAAACCCCCTTCTTGTATTTGCCTCATGATATATAATTCCCAGATAGTTAGTCTGGGACAAAAAAAGAATTAAAAAGTTGAGGATTGTTCAACCTAGATCACCCATCCCATAATTGTCTGATATAGGACTTCTCTTCATAACACACCTTCACGCCCGGGGCTAGATATCTAGAGTGTGGATAATTTTAATATCCCAACATAGTGAACGAGAATTTTTTAGATGAGTCATGCTCTTATACAAGCTAATAAAATAAATTTTGGGCCTAATTCAACTCCAAAAATTAGTTCAAGAAGCTAGAATTGTCTAATTCATATAAAAAGACCACACATCTCACCGACACTGGACTTCTTCAACAAACGTAAATATAAAATATGAGTCAAAACTATTGGATTCTGCAAACTCATAAACTAAGCCTACCTGTGCTCCTGCTGAGGAGGAAGGTGAAGTTAAAAGGCATACTTTGAAGCCTTTTTTAGACAGAATACTAAGCAAGCAGAGATTAATAAGCGTATCATCACCACCACCTTTCATACGTACCATGATATATATGGCTATAGGGTAGAAGATGATCGTTCAATGAAACAGTCTTTGAACTCTTTTTCGAATGAAAATAATTCTTATAATATCCTAGATGAACATAGTTAATTAATCAACGAGAAGATTATAGGACAACGAGACCAAAAGATGATGTGCCAAGACTTGAATTTGAACTCTTAACTAGCTGAACAACAGAAAAAGTTATCATATTATTATTAGTCCCATTCTTTTTTTTAATGGATAATTTCTATACTTGTGTTGTAATTGAACTTTTTGGTACGAAATTCAACACCGCCACAAGGCTGGAAAAAATTGAAGAATTGAGACACTCTCATTTCTCCCGAATATGTCGCTTGCTTAATGAACCCCATCATAGTTTTATTCAAAAAAAAAACATAGGCTATCTGCACATGAAGTTCTTTCACAAAAGAAAAACACACTTAAAAAGTAGAAATGTATGTTACATTTACCAACAGATACAGGCCGGAAACGTTCTTCTGCTCGGCCGAGTAAGCACAAAATGAAGAAGGAACTTTGTCCGCTTCGAATTTCCTTGCCCTAGCTTTCCCACAGCTTTCCATAAAATTGCAAGTCTGTAACTAATTGATGCTGCAGAGAAATAAGGATTTTTTTTAGAAGCTGATAAGAATATATATATATATATATAAATAGAAATCTACTGGATTTAATTAATTATTGAAGCCCTCACCTCATTGGAAATTCCAGCATATTGTTCATGAGAAGTGAAGATTGTAAATGGATTCCAATTTCCATTAACCACAAAACTACTGTCATCAACATGATGGAAGGTGTGTTGTTCATGTGTTCCAGGTTCTTCACAAGTTCTATTAGCCGGCCTCCGAGATCCTGAAGGGTTCAAATCATGAGCTGGGGATTTGGATTTTCCAACTTGGCTCATTTTCTTTGTTTTTGTTCTCTCTCTAGCCCTGGCTCTTGCTTGATTCCTTGATTCCTTTGTAAGAGGTTCAAACGCAGGTCTACGAGCTGTGTTAACCGGCTTCTTCTTTTTCTCCTTCTCATCTTTAGCAGTAGTTTCCTTGTTTTTGTCATTAGAGGAAGTTTCATCAGTTCCTGATATAACTTCACATGACTCAGAAATAGAATTAGATGCACAAATTGCACCAATTCCAGTAGTAGTAGTGGGGGTATTGCAGCTAGTTTGCTGAGGAACCTGAGCATCATTGCCTTTAACGGCGACGAGCTCTTCAATTGCGGAATCCGATTGAGTAAGCAACCATTCTACAGTTTTGCTGGCCTTATCAAATCCCAATAAGTCCTGCAAACGGAAAAACTTGCGAGCAGCATCAAGTGAAAGTCTCATCCTTCGATCTCTTGGACCACGAGCCGTGTTGATCTTGCTGTGTCGATCCTTATTGGAAGATCTCTTATTGTTTTTCGAGATCCGTCCACTAATAATACTAATTCTGCTACTCATAACAACATCATCTCCTTTGTTTCCGCCTCGGCCTTCTTCCATTCCTTCTAGTACGTGATTGCAATTTGAAGGCTTAGTAACAGTCTCAGTGCAGCTGTCAGCTAAGACGTGAGGACTCAAGTCATCTATCAAGGGAACTTGTTGCTGTAGTTGAAAATAATATTGGTCATCATGATTGAAGTTTTGAAAGTATAGTTCGTGTTCGTATTGCATACAAGGAGAAGATGGAATATTTTGGCATATGAAAGAAGACAAAATTGGGCTGTAGTTGCAGTTATTGTTGCTTGGAGGATACATTTGCGCAGTAGCTGTAGCTTGAGATGGTCTAAGTGGTGGGTCTAGATCTTGAGAAAGACAGTATAAACACAGCTAAAACCTCTTTTGAGTTTTGCTGCTAATTAAGCAAGCTAGCTGCAATAAGAAGAAAATTAAAGTTGGTAGATTTATTTTCTACCTAGCTAGTACTATATCTTTGTTCAGAATCATCATGATTGACCAAAATGGTGATGAAAACAGTAGTACTATATCTTGTTCTTTTCTTTCTTTTGCTTGAGTATGACAGCACTTGATACAATGTATTTGTGTGGTTTTTGGTATATGATAAGTACTTCTGCTAACTATGAATATATATATATATATATATATATATTCTAGCTGTGTGAGTGAGAGAGTGCGTGTGCACCCGTCTAAGCATCAAGCTACAGGCATGGTGCTATTATTGTGAAAGAGAGATAAAGGAAGAATATAGGGGAAGGGGAAAGGAAGGAAGAATTGCGTCCATGTCTATTAAAGAAAAAGTAATTGGAAAAGGAAAGGAAATTTGACAAAGATGGGGATAGGAAGAAAGCAGCTAGTGACTGTACGTAGCGGTATTCTTGGAAGTGAATGGATATGAACAACTTGTTATCGTGCCCCTTCACGTGATATCACCTGACACACACACTGAAAAACCACTCTCTCTCTAACCTCATTTCCACAACCCTAGCTAGACCCATCCCCCCTACCCCCATAAATAGATATAATGTGGTATCTTAATGAGATATATCACAATGTGGTATAGCGGATGAGACTATTTATTTCTTAATTAAACTTCTTGTGTTTGAGTCCCTGGGTATGAAAAGATCATTGGTAGGAACCGCTTAGCCTATGCGGTGCAAATTTGAATTAACTGAACTTCAATGTGGGTACCAAACGTTGAATGGAAAATCCAAAAAAAAAAAAAAAGAGATATAAGATATTCTACCCTTACCCAGAGGTTTCAGATTTAAGACTCGAGTATGAAAAAAATGAAGCCTATAGTGCGATTCGAATATAGTCGGGCTCCAATGCGGATACTAGGGAGAAAAATAAAAGAGAGATATACAATGCTTGATTTTATTTTGCTCATATAAAACTTGGGATCACAATTTATTTGTTGTTTCATATCAACTTAATTTTAAACTCAACAAATGAAACAAAAGGCTAGTTTTATCTCCGAATTATATATTGACAACCTTAAAAATATCTCTTTACTTGATTAACTGAACTTAAATACACTTCAATCTTGCAACATGAGTCAAATACACACCTAAGATCTTGTTAAATTTAGTAAAGTTTTCAACCCTTCTCCACCTTTTATTAAGAGTCATATGTTCCGTTTGAAACCATTTGTTATGTTATGTGGCAGATCGAAGATATATTTAAATTTAGTAAGTCAAGTAAAGGAATGTTTTTAAGATTGACGAAACTATTGATTTATACCAAATCGAGGTATGTTTTTTATTCTTCTTAAAAAGAAAGGCTAGGTCGTAAAATTAAAGCATCATCATTTTTCTGTCAAAGTCGTCGATCATAATCAATAAGTAAATTTAAATAACAGCTTGCATGGTACCTTTCTGCCCTTGAATCTCACCTGTAAAGGAGAGGAGAATAATGGCTACTGCGTTTGAAACTACACGTGCTTTTGTCTAACCTGGATAACGACAATTCTCTTTTTATTTCAGTTGAGTAATAACATAAACCCCAGCAATTCATTGAATATGAAACCTAGACTAAATAGTGGGGAGCTAAGATTTTTATTAAGAAAATTTAATATTTTTTTCGTCTCAATAATGTAAAGAAGAATATTCGTCTCAATGTCTCAATTTATGAATAGATATTTGATTCTACACAATCCCCCATAGAAAATTGTCACGGTCGGACTATACTGACCTGTGATACATTGGGGTTTGACCCTGATCCCTACCGGCCATGGCAAATAGTAACAACAAGAAAGGAGGGGATGGAGCATGTACCTAACCTCTAAAAGGCCAAGAACAGAAGCTAGCCTTTTATTAAAAGATTTTTGAAATTTATGATCTAAATTCACAAATATTTGTGTGATTTCAAATCGATCTTGTTAAAAAAAAAAGCTTTTATTATATTTTAGATTAACTAAAAAAAATGTATCACATAAATTTATATAAACCCTTTGCATATCTAGCTCCGCGCCCTCACTAGGGAGTGATGAAAGTCTGAATTGCCCTTTGAGAAGAATGCAACTTTTGACCTTAGAGCATGTCACTTTCACTAAAAAGAGAACCCTATCTCTTCCCCCAACTCACCCACCTACCTTTTTCTCCATTCCTCCGTACTATCTCTTCCCATCAACTACATGACTACTTTGGCCCCAACTCTATATGTTAGTATTGTGAAGTGAGAGATCAGTGACAGAGATGGTTTTGCCAAAATTGCTTTTAGATGTACAGTATACTACATTCCCCAATACGGGGCATCCCCACCTGCCCACCCAACTTTAATTAGCAGTAGATCACAACTTTGATAAAATTAGTAAATTCAGTATTTGAACTTTATGACTTCTCTACACATATATACAAAGTTTAAATAAAATTAGTAGATTTAATCAAACTCGTAACTTCTATTGTGCATCCGCCCTTATTTGCAGGTTTGCGAGAACCAAATATATAAATATAGTATACTTTCTCCGTTTCAAAAGGAATGACTTAGTTTTTTTTTTTTAGTTTGTTTAAAAAATAATGACCCCTTTCTTTTTTTGGCAACACTTTAACTTCAATTTTTCACGTGACATGTTTAAGAGCACAAGATTAAAGGACATTTTGGTATATTTGACATAACTTTAATTTGGCATCACAAGATTAGAAAGTCTTTTTTCTTTTCTTAAATTCCGTTTCAAGTCAAACTAGACCATTTTTTAAAACAGGTGGAGTATTAGAATTCACAACATTAATATTTGGAGTATTAGAATTCACAACATTAATATTTAAATTCTCTGGATCGGCAACCTAAAAAATTTGTGCTATAAAACATGATTTTCCCACCGAATCAGCTTATTGAGAAAATGCATGATAAAAAAAACAAATTCTTACTAAAATAATGGAAATCTTCCTAATTTTTTCATATGAAAACATTTTTTTTTTATTCCTGTCCTACCGATTCAATTAAAGTATTTGTAGGAATTGCCATTGAACCATCTGCAGAAGGAAAATGGTGATTTTTTTAGCAGTGACGTACATCTCTTACTAGATAATTAACTTAAAACTGTTTTTTTGTTCATCAATTTGCTTTGTGCTTGTACTTGTCAAAGATGTTTACAAGTCGTCCTTTGAAACCCTAACCAATGAGTCCTTTCTCAAATGGTGAAAGTCCTTTTCCACAAGTGTAAGAATCCATTTAGCACGGCATGAACTCTTTTTTTTTTTGGTTTTCCATTTGGTGTTCGGAATCCACATTGAAGCTCCAATTAAATTTAGATCGCGCATTGCAGGATCCATTCGGGGGTGGAGCTCCTAACAAGATTTTCTTCATATCCAGAGCACAAACTCAAAACATCTGATTAAGTTTGAAACACTCTCACTAGTGGACTACAACTATGTTGGTGCCTTTAACTCTACTTTCCATATATACATGCCGCATTTGTAAACACTTCCATCACTTTTCACACAAGCCCAAAATAGGGCAGACCAGGGGAAGGGTTTTTATTTGTCCAATTTTATAGTTTGGAGTATATGTGTATTGATCAGCAGTTATAGGACCACAGAAAATGTGGGGTTATTGTTCAGAATTTGAGATAACTATGAACAAAAAAATGAGGAAGATGAAATGCACTGGCGTGACAACGAGAGCCTATGAAGCCTATATAAATTTTATATAT